GAACAACACCATTAATGGGATTAATGGGCTAGCAGGTATCAGCACCATCAATGGCATTAACACGCTGAGTAACATCAGCTGCCATAATGTGACTGGGATGAACGCCTTAAATGGTATTCATTCGATGAACGGTCTAAACGGTCACACTAACGGTGGGATAGCTCACACTGGAATGGAACATGACCGCTCCATGGGAAATGGGCAGAATGGATTGAATGGACATTCAGAAAACGTTCATTGGTCACCAACGTATCCAATGGTTTGCTTACCTGATTCAAATAATACAAATGGAATGACACAAACTAATGGCATAAACAAACAGGAATCGTTCGCACCGCAGATAGCCTTCCAGATCACCAACACCCCGCGTCCAGACCTGCAAAACAATTCTGCCAACTCAACTACAGTGTGCACTTCGGTTTTCGCGCCAATAACCACAGCGGCACCGCGAAACCCTTCTCTTACAATGACAAACCCACTGGCAAATGGTATTCAGGCCATGCAATTCTCTAGGCCAATGCCTTCAGAGTTTACTCAGCCAATTATGAAGATTATGGGACCGGCCACTTTTCTGCCAGTGAGACCGTCGGGCATGGCATCCCTTGATACCATCACACACGGGTAAAACTGCATGAACTGGCTTTAAACGAGGACGGAAGGATTCAGGTAAAAGATAACTCCGCACAGTGTCTACGTTACGCAATACAGTGCAACGAAATTCATTCGTAAATTGTTGTATCCATACATTAATCCGCTTTGATCTTCCCGTACATTCAGTCACTCTTACAAATAAGAGATGATTCACTGCGCCAATATATATGAGGTTTAGGGCAAACTACCTTGAGAGAAACGCTTAAGGCCATTATGAGAATGATTTATCTCACTTTTTAAGCTGACTCTGAGCTTTCTTTAACCAAATTCTATAAGTATGTATTAATTCTTTCTAATAATTTCGTTAGACGCACGTACGGTAAGAGTTGGCAAAATTTTTGAATGTTGGTTAAGATCGTACACTGATTACAAAGCTTTTCCTACCATAGCAGCCAGTTCTCTTCGACGTATGATCAGAAATGGTCATTTTAAAATTATTTTTGACCCTCTTAAAAGCGCGAAGAAAGGCAGATTGCGCTTAACCAGATCATGACTTTGACCATGTTTAAAATTGAGATAAATCATCGTTCTCTACCCCTGTTTGCACCTTCACATTAATACCAAATTATAATCAATCTCAAGGCTCAATTGGACATTTTTTCGGCAAAATCAGAATCAAAGATGGCCGCCATGTGAAATTGGCACGGCGTATGACGTCATTGCGCAAAGAACAAAAGGTCGTCGAATTTTGCAAGAGTATCTTGACGGTTTATCACAATGAAAGACCTTCAATCCTTTTGAAGAAAAAGTAAGAAAATTTGTTGGATCTCCGATCTTGAAAAACGGCGATGCACAGTATATTTTTGCTAATTAAAAATTGCCGATAATAAAAGATGGACATATTATTTGGAATTAACGACTATGTTATCAAGCTAACCTTTACGAAATTAAAAGAAGTCATTTCTACATCTAAAAGCACCACTGGACAAGTTTCAGGATTTAGAATCGTGACGATTTTGATCGCATTTTGAGAACGTTCGCGCAAGGTAAATTTTATTACATCAGTTCCTCGCTTCAACCACACTGTATTTATACCTACTTTTCTTTTTCACGTTCGGGGCGAGAGTCTTGCACTGTATACTAAATCCACAGTATGAGAGGCATTAATCCATCACTGAATATGGTGCTCAAAGGAGTCACTTTTCAACAAACCCAACTAAGGGTGGATTTCCGCTGTCGCGTGATTTTTAAGTGCGCGCATACGTGAAATTTACGAGCGTAAATAGAATAGAGGCAATGCATCGAAAAACGCGCCCGTAAACGTAAAAGTTGAGCGAGGTTCAACTTTCACGTTTGCGCACGACTTTCCATACATTGCCTCTATTTTATTTACGCGCGTTTTATGTACGTGCGTACGCACGTAAAAATTACGCGACAGTGGAAATCCACCTTAACACTTGTTTTAACTGCTGTATGTTAATGGATCCTTGCTGCAACGTGAAGAAAATTTAGAGCAAACTACAAAAACATGAATATTAGCCACACATAAATGCAACGTAGTCTTTCAATGGCATTCAAATCCTTTATTTTTGTTGACTTGTTCTTGTTTGATATTGCCGGTTAAGGATACTAGTTTATGTTCCTACATTAGTGAATTTCCTTTTGCGCAAGGGTTACTTTCCAATACTTTTGATGGCCTAAAGTCTGTTAATACTTAGTTTAAGATTTGTAGCGCTTTCCATACAAGCTATATTTTACTTCTAACGCAAGTTGAGGTTAGCTTAACTTGATAAAATCACCCTACTCAATAGCCAAGCGAAAATACTAACGAGTTTTCAAGCAAAGCCATTTATAGCCCTTAAAGGTTCAACAGCTAGCCGAAATAAACGAGGACAGTTGTTGTCAACAACCGATCACGTTGAATCAAGCTTGAAAATACATTAGAGAGGCTAGGGAGTCTATGTACAGCAGAAAAAATCATGTCAAAACGTAAGAAACTTAAGTTGTCGATTCAAAAATGAAGGTGTTAGAAAGAAGCGTTTCTCTGATTGGCTTGGAAAATAATATAACCTGTTCAGATCGCAATCAGGTGGTAGGATTAGAGCCAATTGTAGGAAAGTTATTATCCCGGTTTAGAAAACGAATGCGGTAGCTTTTTAGGACGATTATCAAAGGCATAATCTATCGCCACGTTTTATTTCAAATTCCACGTACGTTTAATTAATCACGAGTGAATGAGGTATAAATTTTCGATCTTTCTAGCAGCTTTTTTTGAATGATGATTCAAAATTCTCCCGGCTGCCGTTTAGGCTCAACCTCTTGTTACAAAGATCTTAAATTTAGACCTTAACATTGCCAAAGTCACACGCAGTTGGCTTGTGGTTCATACGCAAATCTTTCTAATGCAACGCCCAATCGCAGCGTCATGCTAGGCATGTCGGGTAATTTGGCGGCTAGCCCGCTTAGGAACTGGATCGAGAATGTACAAAGTATTTATCAACAGAGAATATATTTTTCCATATTACTTGTGTTAAATAGCTCATCTTAAAGAGATTTATTCCTCAATTATATTGTTTAATTGCTCTCTAATAAGTTAATTAGTGGACTAAGGTTCTTTTGCTTTTTCAAATGGCATAATGGTGTTTTCAGCAAATTATCAGTCATATTAGCGAACTCTTAAGCGATTTTTCTCACTAGCTGTCTTCCGTCAAACTTAAAAATGACATTACACAATCCACATTCCCACAGAAATGAAAGGGACTATTTCAAAATTATTGGTTGTAAATCCTCTAAAATTTTTACTGTATTAATTTACATAGCCCCTCTACAACGACCAGAAACAAAACAATAATCATCGCGAGTGCAATTTTTGAAATTGAACTCAAAATAACAAGATGCTGAATGCCATGAATGACGTTTGAAAGAGGTTTAGGGATTGTATTCATTATTTTATTATTCCACTTATATTGTTTAAGTAAATCTTATAACATAAGCAAAGAATTAAAAGAGAAACTAAATTATCCAATATAGTACAACCATCTTGGTTGTGTATTGTTTAAGACGACATGTGTAAAGACCATTGATGAATGTAAATTAAAATACTCAAACAGAAGTAAGAAGTCCCGAGATATTATCTTTTTTAAGCCGTATTGATATGTTTGAGCCGAGTTTTGTCTTCGCTCGTCCCATGTCTTTTTTTCTTTTAATTTTCATCGACCTTTTTAAACCACGGACAGGTGATTGTCTTGGATAGCGGTACTTTCAAATTCTCAAATAATCTACGGCAGCATAGGTCAGCCTACTGTCCTCAATCCGTTGCTTATCAAGACTGTAATAACGAGAAATCTGATTGCGTCAGCCTTGTCTGAGCGCGCATGTCACGTCAGAGATCGAAGACGACCTCATTTCTAGGAAATGGTAAACCATGATCTTATTGCCTGAGTGTTTGTTACTATTAACTAGTGGGGATGGATACGATAGAAATGAGGGCCCTGGGAACGACATGAATTGTATGCGGTATTTTATAAAAAAAAAATGATCGTCGACAAGGACACAGAAGAACAAAATTAAGCAACACGAAACTCAATCCGAGGCCTCGTCTTCACCAATCCAGATACATTCAAGACATCTCGGTCCTCCTTTGGGGTAACGTTGGCGTTTTGTTTCTAGATTTTTTTCAGTTTAACTAGTATGATACCAAAGAAGTTACCACATAAAGGTTTAAAAAATGATAAATAATTAAAATAATAATTAATTAATTAAAGTAAATAACACAGCGGCCTGCCTCAGGTTATGCCTTTACACTACCGATAGCTTTTCGTCCCGATACGAAAAGCTATTCGGCATCGTATATCATGAACACCTATCCGATATGCGACTTTTCACTTTAGAGATCGGCGCGACGCAGGTTCGCTCCTGATCTGTTGAGGTGGATTTCCACTGTCGCGTAACTCTTAGGTGGGTTTTCGTGGGTATATAAAATAGAAGTAATGTATGGAAGGTCGCGCGTAAACGTGAAAGTTGAACCTCGCTCAACCTTTACGTCTGTGCGCGGCCTCCAACGTTCTCACTGGTGCTTGCATTTCGTTACACCTTCACAATGAAACTTTTAAACACGTTATTTAAACAGCAAGGGTAAATTACGTGAGCCCACGTAGAAACACGACGTCTTTGTCCGAACGCAAGCCAAAGCCGAGGGGGAAGGTCGCGTTTTAAAATTTGTCGCGATAAGTCCCACGGTATTTAATAACACGTAGTTTAATGAGAGGGAAGGTGAAACTAAAAAGAAAATTAACATTTGAACAAACAGTCAATGAAGGGGACAAGTAACGAATTTCTATAAGCATATTTTATTTTAAAATGCTAAACACGATTATTCGTTGTACACTTGAAACCTAAAGTGAAAGATTTTAGAGTAAGTCGTAAAAATAATCCAGTCCTTGTCCGATTTCCCAAATGGAGATTCCCACCTCGAGTTCACGAGCAAGGTCCAGTCGAACCTGTATGGACTAATGAAAGAACACGCAAAGAGGAATAGTTGGATACGGTGCTGAATCTTTTTCTTCAGTTGGTACATGAAGAAGGTGAATTTTTGCGGACAATTTATGAAAACTCTCTCTTCGGATCTCCTTCAAAATGTTACGCAAAAAAAGTCGCCAGAATTGCACGATGAAAGCCCAGTAACAAAGATACAGAGGCTTAAGAGATAAGGAAGAAGACATTCACAGAATAAGTCGTTCACAACTTTTTAACTTCATTTCCGCCGTCTTACAAAATTACACAATAAAAATTTAGTACCTAAATTTAAATCTTAATAACTACGCTGTGAAACCGTTTTGAGTTACGAAAATTTATTACGTTATTTTAGCCAGCTACAGGAGTAAATTGTAAATAAATTATACTTGTAAACAGTAAAATTGTAATTTCTTTACGCACAAAGCGCTCAAAAGTTCTTAAGAAGTCTTTCAAACGTGTCTGTGCGTTCCAGCTGGAATTGGAGTTTGCAAGCGTTGGAGGAGAAGGGAAAACCGGAGTACCCGGAGAAAAACTTTTCGGAGCAAGAGAGAAAACCAACATCAAACTCAACCCAAACATCATTCTTATGGCGTCGACACCAGGATTCGAACCCGGGCCACATTGGTGGTAGGCGAATGTGGAAAAGGAATTGAAAAACTGTGGTTGTTTTGTTGATATCTCACACTAGAGAACTACACATGCGCAGCAAGGCGGTAACATCATCGTCACTTAGATCAAGATCCTGAGGACAGGTGGCACAGAGCAACTTAACATTAAGCGCCAATGTTTTCAACCGTTCCCTGAATGAGTGATGAACGTCTCGTCACGCCCTTCCGTATGTTTCCTGTACAAGTTAATCCGCCTTGGCCTGAATAATCCGTGAAAACCATGCGAGAAAAGCCTCGGGAACGAAGGGGCTAAGCGAAGGAAATTGGCTTTTAATCTTAAGTTATTTTATGCAACTTGCAACTACACCCTAACCATTGCTTCGGCCGTTGATCGAACCGAGCAGGAGCCGATTACTCGGCTTCTGAACCCCAGGACTTATAATTGCCGCTTATCACGAGAGCGCCTTACCAACTGAGTCATAATACCCAGCCGCGACCAGCCAGTGTTATATGCGTATTCTTAGGAACTCTTACCTTTAACGTTGGGTAAAACACGATGTGGTTTGAACCGGCAGCGCTGAAATATGTTTAAAATAGAGACGTCAGCTACGAATTGAAAAGATTACTGCACAAGCTTAAAAGTACATGAGACTAGAGATGATGATGATGATGATGACGACGACGACGACGATGATGATGATGATGATGATGATGATGATGATGATGATGATGATGTGATGATGGTGATGATGATGATGATGACGATGACGATGATGATGATGATGATTACTATTATTTCATTTCCCTCAAAGAGCGCATTAGAGTGGGTTACACGAAATCGCTTTTCAACTCCACCTATTCAATCGAATTCTACCTGTAATGTAGTGATTGTACATACCTAAAGGAGAAGGAATGCTCTCCTACGGCTTCCTCCCAGACCAGTTTTTCTGTTTTGTGCTTTGTCAGCAACTCGACATATCTATGAGATACAATCACTTCAAATTCAGTCAGAACTGATGTGGCACTATGAGCGGCTCCTTGGTCCTTCCAGTAGAAGGACCCCAGTTTCCTTCAAAAGGCGAATAGCACTATCTACTGAATCAATCACTATCCAGTGGTTTTCGCAATTCATAATACTTGTCCACTGGATAGTGATTCATTCGGTGGACAGCATTCTTCAACTTTTAAAGAACTAGGGCTAGGGGTACTCCCGGTACAAAAACCACCTTAATGATTTGATTAACGCTCAGGGAAATAATTATATGCGAGCTTCTACGACAGAAAGATCAACCAAGGTTGAATGAAGGTGTTTTTATAACGAAAAGGGGCGCAGCTTATTGGGTTGAGGACGAGGGGACGATTAAGTATTGGCGGCACTTATAAGAACTGGGGCGCCTAATATGACCAAAGATATACTACACAAATCGGAATTTGGTCTAGAAGTGGTTTACGTAATTCAATAGAGAATTATGTTTTTTTCTAAAGTTGAAATATGCGATGAATATGGTTAGAAAACCACCTACCCAGAGCGAGAACTCTTTTGGCGTAACGAGAGTTTTTTAGAGAACAGTATATTTCTAATTCTATCTAATCACCTCCCCCCTTTAAACAACACTCACCTCGACCCCAAGATAGCTGTACAAAACGAAATGAAAGAAAAAAATAAAAAGTAATAGGTGAGATAGAAAACTGACATAATCAAATAAAAATTTAGAAACGACAATAAAACAAGGTCCTCCTCTGTCGTTCAAGCTCAGGGCGATTTCCCACCCCTATTTGTTCGTCCCTCAAGGTTTCAGGATCCGAGCCCAGACAAGAGGCTTAGTCAGTTGTCTATCTTGAGCAGCTGATGTTTAAAAACCTGTGAAATCTAGAATTTGAGAAACTTAATTGTCTGTTCCGCTATCCCCAACCCCATGCAGAACGTGAGGAAAAAAACTGTGGGTACACAGTGAAGTGTCGTGAGTGTATAAAGAACGCTTTAAGGTGATGTTACACGAGACGATTCGCAAGGACGAATTTTATCGCAACACTGAGGTCCAATGTTGGACCAATGTTGGAAGTGTTCGAAACAACGTCGCAACAATGCTGCAACGCTGTGTTGCGCTAAAAATCGTCGTTGCGAATCGTCCCGTGTGGTAATTACACTGCCTTGTACCCAGGCGTGTTCTAGCGGATTCGCAATGGAAAATCGAGAGCGACTGGAGCGTCCCCATTGCGCGATACTCCTTGATCGCTTTGCAGTCGCGTTTTCTACCAAACTTGAGACGCCTAGGAACGAGGCAAGTGATTACATAATTATGCATTATTGAACAAGCGTAAGGCCAAGATGGCTGGATCGGCCAAGTTCTTTCTTTGCGTTTTTATCGACCAAGTGGCAGCCCGCGAGATCAATGAAAAACGCAAAAAGGAACGAGGACAATATTCAGCCATCTTGACCGAACAAGCTTGGTCAATAACGGATTTGTTATAAGGTCAAAATGAGCCAGCTTTTTTCCCGAAACCAACACGGGCAATACCGAGCGGGCAGCATAGGCCAATCTCGTCCGCACGGAAAGCGCGCTCGTGGATTTAACCATAAAATAGATGTTATTTTTGAACAAGGGAAAAAATGTCATTCATCAGATCTTCTATAAATTACATTTCAAAGCATTGAAAATATGGCATAACTACATACGTCCTCCGCCCCCTGACGTGAAGTCTTGTCCATAAAAGTTGATTGTCCGGAGATAACAAAAGTGCATAACAAATTTAAAAACAGCAATAAAAACGGAAATTTTGCCTTTAAATGTTGTTGATGACCAGTTGGTGTCTGTTCTGTTCCCAGTGAATGTCTTTCGGCCAAAATTTGCTGCAGCTGGTCTTCGACAAATTTCTCTGGATTTTTTATTTTAATTCGGCTTTATTTTTGCTGCTTGTTGGATCAGGTTAAAACACAGTCCTTATTTTCATCCATTCCAAAGGGGCATGTTTTGAACCGGGGAAAAAATGTCATTCATCAGATATTCTATAAATTACATTTCAAAGCATTGAAAATATAGCATAACTACATACGTCCTCCGCCCCCTGACGTGAAGTCTTGTCCATAAAAGTTGAGACCCAGTAGGATTTTAGAGCGCTGCTTCCCTTTCTCTGGGCTTACATCACTGATCCTGTCCTTTCCGTAGAGTGAAACACACTGTTTACAATTATCGTTGTGTTATCATTATCATTGTCATTCTCGTTGTCATTATCATTAAAGACCTTTAGATTAGAGGACGAGAACGAATACGAGTACGAGATTTGATAAAAGTTTGTTCGCGCATTCTCACAAGAAATAAACACCCCAGAATTCTTCATTGTACTTTTTTTTCACCAGAAAAGTTAGCACTGTTATCGTCATTGAAGGGGGTTGAGCCCTCTCCAGATTGCAAAATGCTAAAACTTCTAACATCCCGCCACTACGACACTCTCGCTAAAACTCGTAGTAGAATAACGACTTCACTTCTTACTACATATTGAGAAAATATCGTAATCGTAGTTGTTCTCGTCTTAGAATCCAAAGGACCCGGATTATCATTATAGGCCTATCACTACATAATGCAGGTAATGTTACCGAGTATCGAGTCACAGCTTGTGGCCTAGGATACTCCGTGCTATCTACTCCGTCCTTAATATGATCAAGTGTCAAGCACTTTTCGCAGAATCCTTCCTGACGCCAGCAAGGTTATTCGCTGTAAAAGGTTCATGCAATATGGTATTCCTAACTGTCTCAGCCACATTCCAAATCCTGTCGACACTGTTCCCAGTGCACCAATAGACCTTTTTACCGATACGGCGGCCATTTTGAATTTATTAGATTTAAGGAGCATTATGGGATGCCCAGGGGGGCACTCGCTCAGTATTTACGCGCGCTTTTCGGACAAAAAGAGAACTTCACTGTATATTTCTTGGGAAAAAGGCGATCATTATTACATCCAAACACGGCACAACGATCTTTTTTCCCATTACAATCTTTCTCTAGGAAAACTTAAAGAAAAATTGGCCCGAAAAGCGCGCGTAAATACTGAGTGAGTATATCGGATCGCGCTCATGCCCCCTGGGAATCCTATAATACTCCTTAAATCTAAGTAATTAAATATGGCCGCCGTATCGTGTGACTTGAACTAAACGACAGTTCCAGATTCGTTCGATGTTCTGGTGTAGAATGGACGGGGCAACATTAATTGTAATGCGCGCATTCTCGTCCCCATTTAGCAGCACAATATCGTCTTTGTTGTGTTCAATAAGATGATCCGTTTGGACCTTAAATTCCCGCACAATAATAATAATAATAATAATAATAATAATAAATCCTTGGCAACATCAACATGCATGAACTCTAGAAAATAACTCTCCTTTCTACAGCCCACCTTCTCAGGCGGGACCGCTCCATCAAATAGAAACTTAACCCTGGCCTCTTTGCCTCCGAAAGTCCATATTTGGACTGTTATGTTGAGAGAGCAAATCACTCGCAATTACACTGATATAACTAATATATAATAAAAATCATTATTATTATTATTTAATTTAATTTATTTTTTTTCAATTTTTGAAATTTTCGATTTTCAATTTTCAATTTTTTCAATCGAAATTAATTGTCCTTTTTTTTTAATCGAAAGGAATAATGTAAATAGTACTTGGACTGAATAGTTTTTTAAGTGAAATTAATTGTAAATAGGATTTTATAGTTAGCTTTGTTATCAATAAAAGATTTGGATTTATTATTATAATTATAATTATAATTTATTTTGTATTTGGGTATGGTAATGTCTGATACTGAGTTTCAAACAAAAGAAAGTCAAATTTTAACCAAGGATAAAATTGAACCACAACATTATAGGTGATGGAGAGTTCAGCTATTGTTCAATACCTTCCTTGAGATGAGTAATCATATGTCATGAGACTGAATCCATCCAGTACCGGTGCCAACAGTTCAAAGTCATGCTTGTTAAAAGCACCTAGTTTCTCTCTGCGTCAAATTAATCAAAAACAGACCATGCAACCGTAACATTGTCAAATACCAATGAAAATATCTAAACAAAGTTCTAGATGGTCTTGTTTAAGAAGATCTACAACTTAAACAGTTACTCTAAAGTAATCATTCAAGACCTGTACCTTTTTACTCTCAACATTGTCAGTGATCTTGTACAAACAGGGCGAGAAGCAAATAGTTTCAGTTAAAAACGAGGTATAACGCTCGAAAATAACTAGGTAGAAAGGATTTGTAGCGATATGGAATCCCCTCAACGACAAACGCAGTTGTAAATTCCTCATTGAGGAAAGTAAACATCGACGTATATAATTCTTATGGACCTTGAAAGCCTGACATGAGAATTCTTATTTCTGTGCAGACATGTTAAATGTACAGAAAACGACGAGCAAAGGGAAAAATTGGTCACTTAGTTAAAATTGTCGTTTACATGTACCGTTTGCTGCAAACGGGGTTCTAAATTTCTCCATAAAGCATCACGTTTGTAGCTTCCTACGCCGACGTTCTTATGGCTTCCTCACACGTTCCTTTGGAATTGCGGAAGGAACCCGGGGGGGGGCACTTTAGGACGTTTTGGGTGGGAAAGTGCCGCTGGGACCCTGGAACCCTTAGCCGATACCAGAGCTAGTTCAAATGAATTTTGCTACCTATATACGAGACTAAACTCCCCAAATCCCCCCCTATCCTAGAGTAGCCGTTTTCCAGAAACAACTGAGGTCACTGGCACAGTCCAGCCAAAACAAAACCGATTTGATTTTTTGATTTTTTTTGAAAGGCAATTCCCGGTTTCCGTAGTCTAGACTAAAATCATCAGCCAATTGATCAGATTAAATGGAAAATCCAAACTCTCTGATTTATATACCCTATCCCAGAGTTAACTGCTTGAAAACCATACCCTTCACAGCGGCACATACCTATATAGCCCATATATGGCAGTACCGCTCCCCCCCTGATTCCCAGAGACAGCGTTACGCATTGTGTTTTTACATTGCGGCCGAGTTACTGCGTTGCTCTGGGTCATCACTGCAGTTTACAGTTTGCCGTTTCCCGTAAGAGTCGTGCTTAACATCTCTAACGAGCAAACGAGGGCCATTCTGACTGACTAAGGGAATCTGCACTGCAGATAGAAACTCAAAACTTTTTCAATTTTAAATGGCTAAAAAATGTTGCAAACGTTTCCCATGCAAGGGAAACCTCAAAGAAATACTTTTATAATGCTTACCCAGCATAGAAGGGCGGTGGAATTACTAAAATTATTTTCATCTTTTCTTTATGAAGCACATCGGCCATTTTACTAACAAGGAGATAGAGGTTCCTAAAAGGACAAAAAACAAGACATTAAAACAAATGGGTTCATTTTTCCGCGGTAAAGTTGTGTTTTTACATTTAACTCTGTCACGCAACAACTTACTCTTTCGTGTCTCCTCTATATTGACTCCACACCTCCAATGTGAGACCATCAAAATGATTTACCTGAAGAAATTAAATGGATCTTATGCCCCCGTTGTTCCAAAGAAGGATAGTGTTATTAATCGGATTTGTAAATATTAGAGAAATCAATTGCGCTACCCACTGGAATTTTCTATAGTAATTTATCCGGTGGATAGTTCTATCCACCATTTGGACTTTCTTGAGGTTTAGGTAGTGGCCTTCCAGGAGCGGGTATTCTACCCATCCTGTATATATGCCCTTCGGAAACTTTGTTTTCTTGTTGTTTCCTCTGACGCCTCTCTAAACATCATCAAATCGTTTTATTCCTTTTTTTTAATGTTTACGCTATGAAGATGTCAAGCAGGATGCTCAAATGCGTATGTGCAAAGTGCTTGGGTTTAAGTTGGATTTGCGTGGGACATAGGAACAGCCTGTTCCAGGCTCCAAGATGGTGAGGAAAGCGGATCGAGAAAAGTTCCGCAAAAATCGCGTGGGGGCTGGGGAGAGACGGAGTATAGTGGAGCATGTAAGCATTGCTTTAATTACCTCATTCCGGTATACCAGCTCCTGTTATAACCTATGATTGGTCAATTGTGACAGTTTACTTAGCGTAAAAGTTATAACCTGTAATCCTTATCCTTAGTCTTTTTACTTTCCAGTTTTTGTGTTGTACGTAATTTCCGCCTATCCGTTTTAAACAATTTTTATTGCGAGATTCTTCGTCTATATAATACTGTGATTCCTACATAAGTTCAGTAACATCTGTAAACCTGAAGAAGGCTGGTATGGCCAGCCGAAATATTGTTATGTTCAAAAAACAATACACGTTGTTCTGAATCAGCTTTGCAGTAGTCTTTGGACTTCTCGTTCTTGGTTCTTTATATTTTGGCTGATTAGATCTCTTTTCTAGAGATCCAACGTTTACAACTAGCAGGATCTTCGTCCACGGTTTAATCCTACATTTTGACACGAGAAACGGTTTTTCACGAAGTGGGCGGGGTAGTAGGCGGAGTGGGGCATTTGAAAAAAAGCTCCCAGGCTCCCCCCTTCTCTTTTCCCGTCTATTTTTTCCCACTGCTTGCTCGCTTTTTTCGCTCGTCGGCACCAGTGACCGAGAGCCTGGCACGGGCTAATACAAGAGCCCAGTTATGGGCTCCTGACTAATATAAGGACAACTTTTGCGCTTGCACCAGCCGTTACGTTTGCGTTCACGTTTCTCTACTGTGAGTCACTCCTTTTAGCGTACAGTTGAGCCACGTTTAGTTCAAAATTATTCAAGATTCACGCAACAATACTTACCCTCAGAAATGAGACAATAGTGTCGATAAGAGAAAGCAACGCTGTTTCACTTGAGAAAATTATATGGAAATCGTTGAGTGACCACTGGTCAAACAGTATTCGCGGCACTGAAAAAAACGAGTGAAATTCTGTCAGTTGGTGTCAACGTACACAAATGGCTTCATGTCTTTTACGTTTCACCCTACATCGTTTCATCCCCTCTCAAGTTTTTGCACTCGCCTTGTAAGTTCACCCAAAGACCTATAAAGGCTTGGCGAGTGAACGCGTTTCCTTGAATAATAGCAGGGGGCGATTCTTTTTTGGGACCAAAAGGGGGGCGATCATTCGAGGAAGGCGATTATTTCAGATATTGCTCAGTGGAAGTCGTGCCCTAAATATTTTGTTTATATCCCATTCAAAATCAAACAATAGTCAAATCAAATAAACTGAACATGGGCTTTTTTAAAGTGTTCCAAATCTGGTTCCTAGATAATTTTCAATGTCAATATACTCGGCGTCAAAGCTTGAATCTCTTGTTTTTTCAAACTATTATCTGAGGGCCCTTTTTTTAACACTGAAAAAGGTTCATGTTTTGTTTTCCTCGACGAAGATCAGTTTTGCTGAATCAGACTCCACTTCAGCTTCAACCTCCAGATTTACCGTTATGGGTGTCCCTGTAGATAAGATGGCGAGGGGTTTGGGGAGGGATTATTTGAGGAAATATATCGGTCAAAGGGGGCGATTATTTGAGAGAGGTCATTAATCGCGGGACAGCTATTATTCGAGAAAATACAGTAAAAGCATCTCTTGTCTTTTCAAACTATTATCTGAGGGCCCTTTTTTTAACACTGAAAAAGGTTCATGTTTTGTTTTCCTCGACGAAGATTTAATATCAAATTTCACGAGTTTTCATATCGCGCTTTTCTTTGTTTGCGGGTGGTAGTTTTCGCAAGGCTTTATAAAACGCGAAGATAGCGAAAAAAGGACGCGCGAAAACCATTTCGTCTAAGATTTCTCTCGTCGGTTTTTTCTTTTTTTTTGCCGGGGGGGGGGGGGGGGCGTATTTGAGGGCCAAGTAAGTGTGTTGGTAAACGCACGACATTTTGGAAAATTAAGACAGAATTCTCACCTATTTTAACATGTTTTCCACCTTTTCTAACATCTGCCATCCACCCTAGGATAGAAAAAAAGAGACTGTCAAGGTATCTCGAAAACACAGAATGAACAGAAATTTGCCAAAGTAGTAAAGTATACTTTAAAGTCATAATACACCGTTTTTTTGGTGAACCGGAAGCCGGGTAAATCACCCGTAATAGTATCTGTGAACTTTCATAAATAGAGACCTTTAGTAGATTCTAAAACGAGGACGACTACGTGCACGACATTTTCCCTATTCTAAAGGCTGCTTTTCACTAGCGACCGGTCGAAGTCGTAATCAGAAGCGTAGAACTATACGATCTACTGAGAACAGTGTTCCGATTCCGCGTACGACTCCGCCGTTTGCCATGATCGAGTGAAAACTGTGTCGTCGAAGTCGCAAGCAGAAGCGGAAGACCTAACCAATCACAAAGCGTGGGAACATGCATTGCGATTGGTTTATCCTTCCGCTTCGTCTTCTCACTCCGAAATCTGGTTTTCACTAGATCATTAGCGGAACGTAAGCGACGGACTCGTAAGCGGAATCGGAAGAAAATGGAAACGTCCTGATTCTTTTGACTCCGATTCCGTCGGACTTATGACTCTGCTTACGACTCCGATTTTTGATTTTCACTAGGTCATAAGCGCTCTTGCGACTCCGCTTACGACTCCGACTCCGTCGCTAGTGAAAACCAGCCTTAACTTAGCAGTGCTGGCGCGTGAACAAGCATCATTTTGGAGAGGAAAACGCGATACCCGTCGTTATTGTACTAATAGGGACTTTAAGAACCAATTAACGACGCAGAGACCAACAAGAACGTGAAATTAACAATAGGCAATTATAAGAAAAACAACAACTTTGCACGTGCATCACGCCTTTTTGTACATTTCTTTGCCCGTTTTTGCATGACTACGTCGTGAAAATGCCTAATTTTGCGTTTTGTGGAGGACGTAAACAGGCAGCGACGAAATTTTATTTCTCTTTCTGAACTTGGATGGTCCCTAGGCATTCAACTCCAGGACGGTTCGCCTACATTTGGCAAAGTAAGTGGGTAGGAATAATTGTGATAAAAACTGAAAGAACGCAAATTCACTTTCTGAGCGACGTTCTCGTGGGCGTTCTCGTTGCTGTTGCGTCGTTGGATCTTAAAGTCCCTAATTTCAGCGAGACGGACGTAGAAACGTGAACAAATTATCAAATGTTTGAGGTTTTATCATTTGGCCAGTCCAACACTCAGGTCTTAAAATGACTGAGAAAAGAAGGTACTGCCTTTGCCCTGCAAATGGCTAAACCTTCGCGTGGCTCGGATGACCACGTGAAATGGCGGTCCCGTTACCGGTAGGAGACGCACCAATAGTTTTCCTAGTTAGTACTTTCGTGCTACATCTAAATACATTGACACAAAGATAAAGTGCTTTTCTTTTCTTTTTTTTTTTTTTCGACCGGGAGAGGGTTTAACCTCCTTCAATAAAGTAGCCTGCATCACAGTCGCTTTATGAGCCAAGCGAGGCGAACAAGGCATTTCGCACTCGTTTCGCGCGTCGCCCAAAATACAGCGTTCGCATCGCTTGACTCATAAAGTGCCTGTTATGCAGGCTATCAATAATTAGTAAAATCCAACTAGTGGTCTATTATCAAGGCTGCGTTTTAATTGGTTGAGCTCCTACTAGGCTATATGTTATAGCCCACAAGTAGCGAAAAGCGCGGGCTTTTTGGCGGCAAAAAGGGATTAAAGTCTAGCTTTAACTAGCTGGCCTCCGAGTCAATAGCCCATTCGGCCTTCAGCCTCATGGGCTATTGACTCAGAGCCCATTCAGGCTCGAGGAATAATTGTTAAAGATAATAGTGGTTAGGTACAATGAAGCTTTCCAGGGCGTTTATTTTTTCAGAATACGCGAAAAAACCTGAAGTCAAATCTGGTATTCGTAGTCGTTGTCGTCCTCTAATATAAAGGTCTCTATTAGTTTTTTTGGCCAAACATACATGTATGGTTCTTTATTGTGAACAGGTGGTAGATAGATCCCTCCCTGTAAACTGACTCGTAAACTCGTGGTCGACTTCGCAGACAAGACTTAGTTATATCTTGAGGTCTCTAATTTCACCTCATTATTCTTGGTTTGCGACCACATGACAAGGCGGCCATGTTGGGGGTCAAAACATTAGAGTTTTTTCACGAAGAATTTACATGGAAATAGAGTTTAGTTCCCAGAGGAGAGAAATGCTTTTCTTCTTGACCACCAACATGGCCACCAACGTGGCCGTGACGTCATGTGCAAGCCAGCAATTGATGAAAAGCTGGTTTTAGTTATACTTATTTAAAAGAAAAGCTCAAACCTTGATCAATGTCATGTCCTCCTTCAATAGCAAAGTTCCCAGTTTTCCTAATGGAGAGAAGATGAAAAACACTGCAGCTTTGCTGTGATTACAATCCATAATGAAATTACCCACTGAACTCTACTGATACATTCATGATTATAATGTTTAGGAAGCCACTATCATCCAATTCAACTATCGCAAGCTAAATGTAATTTGCTTAAGCAAAACAACCTATCATGTATATCAGTTGATAACGCATGAAGATTGTATGGCCACCTCACAGAAAGCAGATCATAAAATCTCTTTAAACCAATTAGCCCCAATAATATTATAAAATCATAAACAATCAATTTTTTAAACAACCACCCCTCCCCCCACTCCTTTTTAAAGAGACGAAAAGGAATATAATGTAACCCCACCCTACTTAGCTTCAGAAATCAAGCCTACACCCAAACTCCTACCGTGCCATTTTACTTTCAAAATCAAACTAAAAGAAAATGTAGTTAGTTTTTAAATAAAAATCAAGTCAAGTTCTTCCTCATTCTATGATGTAGATAGCTAGCACTGTCCACCTTTTGAAAACTGAACTTGCGCTAGTACAAGGCTGTCGTTAAGAGCTGGGGGCTGGGAATTTTTCGCGGCTACTATGAATGTGGCCCCGGCTACTTTCATTGGAAAATAGAAGAAAATTAGAACCAAAAGAAATCCTCTAGCTGTTTGATTCCCCGCCTACTTGTTGTATTTACCCAGCAACTTGAAATCTTAGTAACAACCCTGTAGTAATTAACATAAATCCTCTACCTTGGAGCTTATACTTTGCAAACACTTGCAGAGGGGAGCTCAGTGGAGAGAAGGGAGGTGGAAGGGTTAATTTAATTATACCAAATTGCAGCTCTTGCTATTACCAAGAATGAGGAAGAGAGTTTACTTAATTGCCATTAGTAAAATCCAACTAGTGGTCTATTATTAATGCTGTGTTCTGATTGGTTGAGCTACTACTAGGCTATATGTTATAGCACACTAGTAGCGAAAAGCACTGGCTTTGAACACCAAAACAATGGCGGCTGAATCGCGTTTTGCTAGCTAAAGTTGTTTTGACTCGCTATATACCAACTAGTTGGATTTTACTAAGGCAATCATTCCTCTCACCCTCATGGTCTCTGAGTCAATAGCCCGTTCGGCCTTCGCCCTCATGGGCTATTGACTCAGAGCCCATTCGGTGTCGAGGAATAATTGTTAATTATACCTACTGGATGGTGCAATGAGTCTTTCTAACACTATCCTCTGGATAGTGATTATTTAGTGAAAAGCAGTATCAATCTTTTGAAATAGCACGGCCTGGTCCCCAGGGGGGGGGATACTTTAGGAATTTCTGGGTGGGTATGTGCCGCTGGGATCTGGAATCCTTAACCTATACCAGAGCTGGTTCAGCTGAATTTTGCTACCCTATACTAGAGTAAACTCCCCAAACCCCCCCTATCCTAGAGTAGCTGTTTCCCCAGTTTAGATAAAATCTTCAAACAACTGATCAGTTTCCTGTCAAATGATACCCTATTCTAGACCCAAACACTCTGATTTATACACTCTATTCTAGAGTAAACTGCTTGAAAACCATACCCTTCACAGCGGCACATACCTGTATAGCCCATATGTGGCAGTACCCCGGGGGGGGCCTGGTGAATAGAGCAGGCTGCATGATCAAGATAGGATGGCAATGATTTCTAATTATTATTCAAACCTTCTTTTTACTTGAAGCCATACTGGGGACACGTAGGTAAACTTTGAGCTGAATATTTTTGCAATATCATAACCGTGAGAATTCCACTAGAAGAGAGAAAATAAACAAAGTTTACTCCCCTTTGCTTAAAAGGGCCACCTTTTCACAGTTCAGGTGCATGTATTAAAAGAAAAGGTGGGAATTTTACGAGTTAAAAGTATGGTATACGAAAAAAGCTGGAAAAATTTTCATATAGTTCTAGGTTTTCAAGCACATCTTATACAAAAATACTTAGAAAAGATGCACCTTATGGCTTTATCAATTTATTTATTAAACATCACTCAAAAAACTAGGAACTGTTCATAGGTATGACAAAGGGGCACCATTTTTCAATGGAAGCTACACAAAAGGGGTAGGCCCTGTATGATGCATTATATGCCTTTAATACAATACATATGCATATCTTGTGGTTCAGTTTATGTCCTCGGTTTAAATTTTATCTTCCTTTGTTTTTGGGTATGGTAATATATCATAATGAGTTTGAAACAAAGGAAAATTAAATTTGAACCAAGGATAAAATTGAACCACAATACATATTTCTTACTTTGACGGGCCATTAGAATTACAAGTGAGTCACGGAGAATGCATAAACAACCTCTGGTAGTGACCACACCCCCTACACGCATCCCGCATGCACTGTGGAAATGGGTATGGGGTACACCCTGAGTCCTGATTGTGCCCAACCCCATTGTCAGCTTCTACTGTACTGCCCAACAGAAGCTGACAAAGTACAAAGGAAAGTATACAGTCATAATGCAGGGTTTGAAAAAAACTTGAATTACAGCTTATCCTTTGAGCAAGCAGCTCTCACATTTTGCTTACCTGGGGCCACTTCTTGCTCATCTTAGTTAACGATTTAGTTAGAAGATGACCTGCTTATAGACCCTTGCCCATTGCGCAAATGAATTTTAAAGTTACTTAATTGCCCCGGGGGAAGAAAATCTGCTTGTCCCAGACGACTGGACGAGACTTTTTTTGGGCCCTGATAATGACTATTAATAATAAATAAAATTAATGTTTTGGTTCTGGGTGGAAGGACCACTTGAGGACTCTAGGACAGCCAATCAATGAATCTGGGTCTCTGGGATACCTGGTTTAAAGGCCACGATATTGTGAATGGGCAAAAATTAACAGCTGTGTATGACCTCTGGTTCTTAATTATACTTTTTTTTCTACTTACCGGGGTAACATAAACCAGAACCTCTCCCTCAAAGTTAACTTCTGTTGTGTTTTTGTAATATGAACTGTGAAACTTGATAATATCTCTTGTCTTGGGATTTTCCACAACTAAACCCCTTGACATAACATTTGTTTCAAGGTGAGGCTGAAATGGATTAGAAAAAGAAACTTCTTCAACTTCACAAGAGATTCTGAGATGGTATGGGAGATTATTTTTTTCTGTTTTCCTCCTTTTCTCTCCTTTATTGTATATTTTAAAGTGGATATTAATATTGCAAAAGATGGATCAGATAACACTGGTATTAAGACGGAAAGAAAATTAGAATTTTCTACGGGAAAGCCAGCTAAAACAACTCCCCAGGGGATATTCCAACTTCTCAACTTCAGTAATATTTTTTATGCTGAAAGCAACAATTTTACTTCCTTTAAACTTCCACTTATTTTTTTCGCACTGTAAAGTTATAGTAATTAAAAGGGTTGCTTTTAACTATGGAAAAAAAGTGTGAAAGAGGACTTTCTTGCCGCATGAAAATTCTTATTTGCAACTTGTCTAATCATTAAGGTTTAGAAGGTTATAGTAATTAACAGGGCTGCTTTTAACAAAAGACACTTTGTATAAAATTTATTTCACTCCATGTTTAGTCTCCCAGGTGGTGCAATACCGGTAACTAAGGTTCATATTACATGTCTCACTGAAAACAACATGCATGTGATGGGAATTGACTTTATCTTGCTCTAAGTGATCTGACTTGTACATTAAGAAGAACTGATCTGAAAGTTTTTTTACATGTTTAGAAATTTGAATGCCATGCAAGATAATTTTTCATTTTTTTTTTCAATTTTCTTTCTTTCTTCCTTCTTTTTGGACATGAACAACTATTGCCAGATAACTGTTATTAAATAACAAATATTGACAGATAATTTACAAAAAAACTTTAAAGTCACGATGAATCCACCTGCTCAGTGTTTAATTTACAGTTAGTAATTTGCATTCAATGTCAGCATCTAAAAAAAGTTCCTCTGACTTTTCAAGTTAATTACAATTCAACATTTTTATCAATAACGTTGCTATACAACAAACAAAATTCCTTTTTTTGTGAATTTCATCCCTTTCCTTAACCTTAGATCAGTTATTTTTCAGGCTTTAGCCAAGTATAAAAGTCAAGTGACAATAGTATATTTTCAATATTATTCACATCCAGATAGACACTGAAATATAAATAATAAATAAAACATTTTGCACGGATAAGACCCTGCACAGTGGCCCTCTAAGCTAAAACAGCTATGTGTGGTTGTATTAAGTTGAGTTTTCCATACATTAACTTATCAGGTAGGAGTATATTATTTTGGAGAATTCCAGACATTCAGTAGGGGAGTGCAAGCTATTCATACTTTGCGATAACTAAAAGGTTATTATGTCCTTTTTTTTTTAAGAAGCTTAAGGTGTTATTTATTTCAATAAAAACAATAGAAATTGTCTTACCATCCGATTTTCCTTATTTTTCCTATCCTTTTTATCTTTCTTCGACAACGTTCCACAAACGCGCCAAACATTCGAAATCCAGCACGTTGCAAGGACGCAGATAAAAATTTTCACAAATATTCTTTGCATAGCGATCAAGGTAGGTCGCAGTCCGCGACGATGTCGGTTATATGGCCGCTGGAAGCGTTAATAATGGATATGAAAACGATATGTGTAAATTATAAAGTAGTTTTGGAGAAAAA